ACGCATGATGGTGCCCTCGCCTCGCCCATGGATGAAGCGACTCCCACATCGCCTGACCAAGGGAGCGCACCCCCCAATGCGCAGACGCAGCAGCGCGTGCAAGACATGTTGCACTCAGACGTGGGCGTCTCCACCCTGCTGAACCGCCTCAAGGCCAGCATTGCGAGCGCCAGAGTCAGTGGCCACGAAGCCGGGCTCTTGTGCATTCCGACGGCTAACACGCTGGGCAGGACTTTGCCAGCTTTCTCAAACGCCGGGGAGCTCTCGAGGAAGAGCACGCCGGCAGCCTCAAGAAACTAAGCCGTCTGACGCTCGACGGCGTGCGGAAGCCTGACACGCGGCACGAGAGCTACCAGACGCAGTTCGAGCAGGTCCTCCACGCAAACGAGCGCATCGCCGACAATGGCACCCAGTTCGGCCTTGCCCTACACGCCATGCACGAGAACCTGCTACAGCTGGCCAACAAGATGGATACAAGCCGCAAAACTTGGAAGCAGCAGGGGCTCTCGGCAGAGAACAAGGTTCAAGACGCCGAACGGCTGGCCGAGAAGGCCAAGGCCAAGTACGACCAGCTCGCCGAAGACCTTGACCGGGTCAAGACAGGCGACACAGGTGCGGGCAGGAAGTTTGGCTTGAAAGGGCCCAAGTCAGCCGCCCAGCACGAGGAGGACCTCCAGCGCAAGACCCAGGCGGCAGATCAGGACTATGCCAGCAAAGTCCAGACGGCACAGGTCTCCCGCAAAGAGCTCGTCGCGACTCTGCGGCCCCAGGCTGTCTCTGCGCTGCTGGATCTCATCAAGGAAACCGACGCTGCTCTGACTATGGAAATGCAGAAATACGGTAAGTCCACCTGCTGCCCGCGTCAGCTTCGACTGACGCTGTCATAGCCTCGTTCAACGAGAAACTTGTCGTCAACAATGGCCAGGTCGTCAGTCCACAGCCACCCAAGGGCGCGACTACTCAGGCCCCGTCCAGCATCAACCAGCTCATCTACCAGATCAACAATGAGCGCGACTTTGACGAATATATTTTGAGCCATGCCTCCAAAGCACCCATCACCAAATCAGAGCTACAGTACCTGAAGCATCCGACACAGGCGCAGACGCGGTCACATCCAACACCACCTGCTGCTGCGAGTAGTAACCGACGTACCTCCATGCAGCTGCAGAGTCAGCCGCCGCCCTCTTTCCCCATGCCGCAGCCAGATGCCAACCCTCTATCGCCTCAGGGCCCTTCCAGTCTCGAGCCCTCGTTTGGGGGTCCCGCACAGCTGCCACCTTCGTCGTTGCAATCGCAACCACAGCCTTCGCAAGCGCCGCAGTTCAGCAACTCGCCCTACTCACCCGTGGGGCCCACGCCTTACCCACAGTCAGACTATCCTCGTGGACCTGTCGGTCAGGCTACGGCACAGCAGACTAGCGGAATTCTTTACAACAATGCCCAACCCCCGGTCAATCCCGTCTTTGGCGTCACTCTGGAAGACCTGTTCCACCGAGATGGCTCACCCGTACCCATGGTAGTCTATCAGTGTATTCAGGCTGTGGATCTATACGGACTGGAAGTAGAGGGCATCTATCGGATCCCTGGAACCTCGTCGCATATCCAGCAAATGAAAGCTCTCTTTGACAGTGGTAGGTGATTATGACAATTAGTCAATGCGGGCGACTAACGCTATACAGACGCTTCCCAAGTAGATTTCCGCAACCCAGAGTCGTTTCAGCACGACGTCAACAGTGTGGCTGGTTTGCTGAAACAATTCTTCCGCGAGCTTCCGGATCCACTGCTCACCCGCGAATTCTACGGCAAGTATATCGATGCTGCACGCATCGATGACGAGACCATGCGACGTGATTCCATGCACGCGCTAATCAATGCTTTGCCCGATCCGAATTATGCGACACTTCGTGCCCTTGTTTTGCATCTGCATCGTGTGCAGCAATCCTCCGAGGTTAACCGCATGAGCACCGCAAATCTGGGTATCTGTTGGGCGTAAGTCATCACTCGACCGAATCTATGTATCGACTAACCTCGTATAGGCCGTCCATAATGGGTCCTCATAAAGGCAACAATATGGCCGATGCCGGTCTGCAAGCCCGCGTAATCATTACCATTCTTGACAACGTGCTCCAGATATTTGACGAGGACTGAACAACTATCTTGCCTGGGCAGGGGCTCATGTCTGTCATGTTCTTGCAATCTCAAATCACGTTTCCTATTACCCTCTAGGTGTTCGATGTCTAATCCAATGCGGGCTCCGCTTGTGCGGGACGGCTACCGCATTCGTGAACAGCACTTTGTGTATGATTATGGTAGAGTACGAGAGAAGCAGGGACTAAGCTACATCATAAGAAGGCATGGTCGCTGCTCGCTGCTCTCTAAGGGGTATGAATAGCCACACGCAGGGATGGAGCAGTCAGGGACAGCGAAGTTCGAGGTCGAGGATTAGAAGTGAATTGATCCAAATGGTCTCTTTCTAGTCTCGTGGTACATCTTGGGCCTCTACGATCATGTCAACAGATTAGATGCAAAGAATACGACCATGGATCTGGATGTTGGCCTGAAGACGCGATGAAAGTGTTCTGCGCTACATTGAAATGTAAACAGCGTTGCAACGCTTCCAGTAGAGCAATGTAGACGCGTGACGGAGGTTGGTGAGGTTTGCAGTGGGGCGCGCTTACCCCAGTGCCCCGGGCGGATACCTAGGCCGCGGGACGCTAGTGAGCTTGACAGGGACAGCTGCAGTAGGCTGATTGAGGGGAAGCTGTGCTGTAGCCCGCCCAAACCGACACAAACACCACCACTACTCCACTCCATACACGCTGTCGGCGTTGGTGTGCAAATTGACCTCACCCTCCAGCTCCGGTCCCGACAGTACCATCATGCTCACACGCCGTGTTTGTGCCAGTGTGCGCGGCATCCTCTCCCCGCCGTGTGCCACCGCCGTCCGCTCTCAGGCCTTCAGTGCTGGCGCTCCAACACAAAGCCCGGCTAGAGCTCCTACCCTCGCCGACATCACACCCGATAGTGCTGCCAGCTTCAACGAGAAGCAGAAGAGCTTCCGCGACGGTCTGGTAGCTGCTCAGAAGCGAAAGGAACAGGAAGAGAGTCCGTTGCACGTCGCCCAACCTGAATTACCCAAGAGCGCTAACGTGAGTAACTACAGAAGATGCCCGCGCCCGTGAGCAAGAAAACGGCAAGAAGAAGGGCGGTGCGCTATCATCTCTCATCTACGGCACGCCCGAGGGCCGCGAACTCGACAAGGACATTGAGCGCAGCTTTTCTCAGGTCTTAGCTCGCGGCAAATACGTCCACTCCATTGTATTCCACGAGGTACTGCAAGACAAGGTCGAAGAGTACACCGAGTTGGTTGGAAGCTGGTACCCAAAGATGGCGTCCATTCCCGAGAACAAGGTCCATCTTGTAGGTAGCTGGAGGACTGAAGTGGGAGATTGCAACACCTTTGGTAAGTCTGCAACTCGCTCCAACGCTCGCATCTCTCTCAACGATGCTGACTATGCACCAAAGTACATATCTGGGAGTACCAACGCTACGAGGGTTACCACGAATCGCTACACAACATCCAATCCCATCCAGAGTTCCCTGCGTTCGATGCCAAACTCAAGACCTTGATCAAATCCAAGCACAACTCCCTAATGCAAGAGTTCTCCTTCTGGCCTACGACACCCCCACGCCAGCTCGGTGGCTTGTTCGAATTGCGCTCGTACACACTACATCCTGGCAATTTGCTCGAGTGGGAGACACATTGGCGACGTGGCTTGAAGGCCAGGCGGGAAGTCATGGAGGGTGTGGGTGCTTGGTTCGTCCAAATCGGTGATCTGAACACAGTACACCATCTGTGGCAATTCGCCAACCTGGAGGAACGCAAGGTCCGTCGTGAACAGAGCTGGAGTGTGGAAGGCTGGGGCGAGACAGTGCACAAGACCGTGCCGCTCATCCAGACCATGAGGAGCAGGATCTTGATTCCTTGCTCCTGGAGCACTGTTGCATAAGCTTCGATTGCACCGATCAAGCCACTCATCTGGTGTACGACCAAGTAAATGGCACTGTGCGCTGCTTACAGTGAGAGGGTGTCATGTCTGCTGTATCATGTATATGAGCAAGATCGATCACAATGTTCCAGAATGAGGCAAGTATCGCTAGTAGAGCCATCAAGCCTCCAGCGTCTAAGTGGTGCGAAGTTGCGAGGGGCTGCATCAATGTCAGATACACATTCGTAGAATATGATGATTCATCTCATTCGTTGTGCACACCGAGGTAGCGATCGTACCTGACATACCGTTTCCACGCTAAGATGTTGCCAAAACCGGCGGGCGGACGGGTCGCTACGTCATAAGATTTTGCGCTTGGCGCACCACCACATAGCAACAAGTGCCGCCGAAATCACTTTCGCTGCCAGAACCCCACAACAACTCGCCAACAGTTGCTGGTACTAAGCGAATAACACACCATGGTGTACATACGACAGGATAAGCTACCAAAGCTCAGGGAGTACAAGTACTCTGGCGTGGATCACAGCTTGCTTTCACAATATGTCCTCAAGCCTTTCTACTCTCATGTGGTCATCAAATGCTTTCCTATGTGGATGGCGTGAGTATTTCCAAAATCTCATACAAAGCAATACTAACATGTCTTAGACCCAACCTTGTAAGTTTGGCATAAAAAAAAAGATTTTATATGTCGAACCCCGCCGCAAGAGCTTCGTCCTTACTTACATGATGCTGTAGATAACACTCTCTGGGTTCGGGTTCATCATAGTCAACTTCCTCACCTTACTCTGGTATACACCGACCCTTGATCAAGATTGTCCGCCTTGGGTGTACGCCAGCTGGGCCATCGGACTGTTCCTCTACCAAACATTTGATGCTGTGGATGGGAGTCAGGCCCGCAGGACTCGCCAGAGCGGTCCTCTAGGCGAGCTGTTCGATCATGGAGTCGATGCGATCAATACGACACTGGAAGTATTGTTGTTCTCTGCGACAATGAATCTTGGCCAAGGCTGGAAGACAGTCCTCACGCTCTTTGCATGTAAGCCAGCACCTTGACATTACTTGCTTTGCATCTTATCTTGCTAACTACTGCAGCATCTCTGACATTCTACGTGCAGACCTGGGATGAGTATCATACCCATACACTGACTCTTGGTGTTATCTCTGGGCCAGTCGAGGGTATCATAACCTTGTGCATAGTGTATGCCTCAACTGCCTACCTTGGTGGAGGTAGCTTCTGGCAACGCTCCATGATCCAAAGTCTCGGAGTGAAAGAGCAAGGATTCATTCCAGAAGTGCTGTACAATTTGGCATGGAACGAATGGTATATGGTCTATGGAGGAGTTGTGCTCGTGTTTAACACTGTTTCGAGGTATGAACACATGCCATTGTACGAGACAGTAGGCTGACAATGACACAGCGCGCAAAATGTAATGAAGGCGCGTCGTGCCCGTGGTCAAAAGGCGCGAGTCGCTCTCCTGGGTCTTCTTACCTTCGGGGCGGCTTGGGTCCTCATCACGGCGTACTTGTACCTGCAACCTATGATCTTGCATCACCATCTGGTTCCGTTCATCTTCTACGCTGGTCTCATCAACGCGTACTCGGTGGGTCGCATGATCATCTCTCACCTTACAAAATCCCGATTTCCTCGAGGCAACGTACTGATGTACCCTCTCATCTACGGAGTGATCGATTCGCTCGGGCCATGGCTACAGGAGCACATTGGTGTCGGCTGGCCAAGTGCCTTGGGCAACGATGTTTATCAGGTTGCCTTTGTGTTCATGTGTCTAGGTCTTGCTGTCGGTGTGCATGGAAGCTTCATCGTGGATGTTATTTGGACGATCTGCGATTATTTAGACATCTGGTGTCTCACGATCAAGTACCCCTACCAGCCAGTAGAAGAAAACATCGAACGGAAGGGACAATGACGATCAGGCTACTGGGTCTCAACCACAAGGGGAGATGGAAAGGGTTGATGGGATTAATCCCACTATAAATTCCTTTGTTTGGGGATCTTTGCGTACGCCCGCAGGAACTCATCATCATATCTAGATGTTAGAGCTGTTGGCTGAGTAGCTTTACGAGGAGCACGACATCACGTAACTATAGTGCAGTGAAATACACCACACATTATCAACCTCAACTTCAGATACTCAAATATGTACCTTCCGCAATTCAAGGTTCCTGAGATTGATTGTGCCGGCCCGCATATATGTGTGGTGCCAGCGTGAGCCACGCTAGACCGATGTAGGTCACCCCCGAGCGCGTCTCCGCAATCACTCATCAACCGGAGCCAGGACTCTACAACCTCCAACGCAAACATGTCAACCGTGGGGGTAAATTTGGCTGTTACTAAAGACGGTGAGAGCTACAACAAACTACAGCGGCCCGATGGTTACCTTATGTCGACGCAGCCGCCCTCCATATCCTCCTCGACAGCGTCCCCGACTGCATACGGCAGCAAAAGAAAGTGCGCGCAAGAAGAGGCCGTCGGTGTTAAGCGCGCGAGGATCGCGCGCATCACAGCGCACCCAAAAAACCGGCCGCGCGCTGTAGATTCGTACCAAGAGTATGGGACACGGACGGTGCTACCAGGACTCGACGGTGAAGAGCAGTCATCCGACGAGACCACAAGCGAAGCGTTGGCCTACCTTCACGGTGTCCGGTGAGTGCTTACTTCATCTTTTGCACTCCCCTCACATGAGAGCATTATCAAGTGCATCGCTTATACATGAGGCCTAGGTCTGAAGCATCGGCGATTCCCACTCTACTCGTAGCCCCAAACAATGTCAACGCTGGCAAACTCGACTCAGACCATGACGAATCTCAATACAGAAGCCCGATGGATACTCAACGCGTCATATACAGGGAAGGAACCTGGATTGCCGTGGATTGGGAGTACAACGCTACCAAGTGGGAAACAGACTCGTTCGCCCTTGATCCACAGGAAGCTTGCACCAATGCTCTCCTCCAGCGCTTTCGAAACCTTCGCAAGAAACTCGCCGAAATGCGAAGGTATGGACGACTACCAGACACAGCAGCGAGCCGCGCAAAAGTAGAGAAGTTTGGAAAGCAGAAATGGTCGGAAACCATAGAGAAGGACTTACCGATTCTCCAAGAAATCATGCACATTGACGAGTCGACGCTGTATATGGCTCTACAAGGCTGCACGTTAGCATTGGGTCGATCAGCTAAGATATCCCGGGAGAAGAGCAGCTGGATATGGACCTTGTTGGCCCTAGTTGGAGATTTCGGTACTTTGGATCATGAGCGTGTGAGCAGAATTCGAGACTTGGGGCTCAGCGCAGGCCGGCTAGTGGGCCGACTCTACGCAGACAACAGAACATTGACGTGTGATGCACAAGAAGGCGAGTGCACTAGTCCCGAGGTCCTAGAGACCGATCCCAGAGAACAGACACATGGAGCTCACGACACGAGACATCTCGCGCCGAAAGTCACACAAACTCTGCGCGATGTTTCGGATGAGAAAGACAACGGATTAGACACGACGTCCTTCAGAAATGACAATGCCGTACTCAGCCAAAACACAGTCATTGAAGAGACGGATGATTCTGACGCAGAGATGATCATGTCTGAGGATGAAGTTGAATCAGAAAGCATTCCGGAAGATGGAGGTCTTGAGGAAGCTCGAGCGCGTCTTCTTGCGCAACTCGGAGACCGCTTGGTACATTCACAAGTGCCTCTGCCTCATACGCCCCCAATGCAAGTCCATCATCACCTTTCAAGGGTCGAGGCTGAGAGGCAGCGACAAGAAATACGCCGAGGAGAGTTGCAGCAAATTGCGAGTGCCACCAAATTGGCGCCAGTTTCCGAGCCGACGCAGGCCAAACCGCAGTCCATTACCCCATTGTCCGAGAGTGACTGGAACACGAAGGCAGCCATCGACATGATTCTGACAGTTGTAGCCGAGTGCTATGGACAAAGAGATCTGCTGAAATTTCGACTGCTCTGGTAGTTGCACACAGCGCGATGACTAGAAACCCATGCGTCAATTTATTCGTTGTAATCCTGTGACTATATTTTGGCTACCGCAGTGACGTCGGTGTGAAGATGCACGGGCCAAGTCGCGGAGTAGAACGATTCTTTGCACACGCGCGCTTGCTCTTGGGCGATTGAGTCACTTTCCAGGTCCATGCAGCGCATTTCACCCCACTTTGTCTGCCCCGCGCTCTTCCAGGACGCCCTCCGATATACCTTCGCATACCGTAAAGTCAGCCGAACATTTATCCGAACCTACATTCTTGCACCCCGCCGCCGCTTCTCTACGCAAACTTCGCCCTTGGGCTTCGACGACGACATGGGCAAAGAAGACAAGAACAAATCGTTCAACCTGAAGGTGCCAAAGGGCACACGCGACTGTACATTTTGCCCACATTGCGCCCAAACGACTCGCTAACTATGTCAGGGACTGGCGAGGATGCCGCACTTCGCGACAACCTGTTCCAAACGGTAACGGAAGTTTTCAAGCGCCACGGCGCTACGACACTCGACACGCCCGTCTTCGAACTCAAAGAGATCCTCAGCGGTAAATATGGAGAAGACTCAAAGTTGATATACGATCTGCAGGATCAAGGCGGCGAGCTCTGCTCACTGCGCTACGATCTCACCGTTCCACTTGCACGATGGCTCGCCATGAACCCTAGCGTCCAGAGTTTCAAGAGATACCAAATCGCTAAGGTGTACCGCCGCGACCAACCAGCCATGACCAAGGGTCGCATGCGAGAGTTTTACCAATGCGACTTCGATATCGCGGGTTCCTACGACGCCATGATTCCAGATGCCGAGGTACTCAAGATTGCGACCGACGTCTTCGATGCGCTCAAGTGGGACTCGTACACGATCAAGATAAATCACAGGAAGATTCTAGACGGCATGTTCAAGGCTGCTGGCGTCAAGGCAGAACTGATAAGGCCGATCAGCTCTGCTGTGGACAAACTAGACAAGGTGAGCTGAACATCTCCATGTCTCTGCCAATTACTAACATGCTGCAGCTACCATGGTCAGAGGTCAAGCAAGAAATGGAGACCAAGGGACTGCCAGCAGACATCGCGGATAAGATTGGTGAATGGGTGCAGCGCAAAGGCGGCGACGACATCATCGACTATCTCAAGACAAACGAGACCCTTTCTCAATCGGAAGATGTCAGCCAGGGTGTTCGGGAGATGGAACAGCTCTTCTCATACCTCGATGCTTTTGGTGCCCGCAAGAGAATCTCTTTCGATCTCTCACTCGCCAGAGGTCTAGACTACTACACTGGGCTCATCTACGAGGTAGTTACAGAAGGCTCAGCACCGCGCGTAAAAGGTCAGCAGCAAGAAATCGGCGTAGGAAGTGTCGCCGCTGGTGGTCGTTACGACGGGCTCGTGGGCATGTTCAGTGGCAAGCCTATTCCCTGTGTTGGCATATCTTTCGGCATCGATCGAATCATTAGCATCATGAAAGCCCGCGGCCAGTCGACACAGCGTGCCAAAGATGTCGATGCCTTCGTCGCAGCCTTTGGTGGTAAAGGCTTCACCGGCCTGTTGACAGAACGTATGCAAGTCGCTCAAGAGCTATGGGCTGCAGGCATCAAGGCTGAGTTCTCGTACAAACTGAAGCCGAAACTCCCTCAGCAATTCAAACAAGCTGAGGTGGCCGGTGTCCCGCTCCTCGTCATCCTTGGTGAGGATGAGCTCAAAGACGGCAAGGTCAAGATTAAGGTCCTGGGAATCAAAGATGACAACGACCCCGAGAAAGACGGTGTACTGGTGAACAGGACTGATATGATTGCCGAGATTCGGAAGCGACTACCAAGCGCAGCTTGATTGCAGTTGGCAGGCGGACTTCCAGACTGACAGTGCACTTATAGATACCCATAGACTACATTCTACAAGCTCCCCTACCCGGGGTTCACAGTGCCATTCGCAAGGACCAAATTTGGAGAGAGTCTAGAAGAACAAAAGCATGTGTACCTCGATCTAGGACGGACACGACGTTGATCCTTCCAGTCGGATGAATAGCGGTTTCCCTAGCATTACTTGAGTCGGACGTGTATATATACAAAAAGTCTACCGGAAATCACCGTGGTGCTTGAGGGGTTTCTTATCATTCAAGTCCGCATTGATTTTGCTGTCGCGTTGTTAGGCAGACCAGAACTGTGCGGCACCAATCTGTGTGAGGACATTGTAGAGAACTTATTTCATCTGCGCAATAGGTCTTATGTACAGACGCATAACTGAAGGAAAAATCTCGCACTCTGCTGCCATGAGGTTTTGATTGGAATTGGGTAGTTGATGTCAGTTTGCGTGTCTAGTAGCCGTCCTTGCCCCACTTGTTGTATGTGTCATGGAGTTCCTACGCTCGTCAATACAGTCTGATTGCTGGTAATCAAGGGCGTCAGCTTACCTTGGGGAGAGTGACGTTGGGAATGACGACCACGTTAAGCGCAGAAGGCGCATCCTTCTTGACGCTGGTGTCACCTCCGGGGTGGTACTGGTATGGGCCTACACCACCATCCTGCTTCCAAGGCTCACTGCCTGCGGCCTTGGCGACAGCTCGTTCCGAAGAAGCACTGGTAGGAGAGCGGGCTTGCAATTGTCAGCATGTGAAGACGGGCGCACGAGGCAGAATCGATGTATCCGGGAACATACAGAAGTGCCATCCTGCCAGACCGAAAACACCGCTCATGATAGCGAACAGAACCTGTAGACGAATCAGCTATGCGCCCTGTATTGTCCAATTGACGTGTCGCATCCTACATAGAGCTCAGGGTCGCGCTTCGCTCCGGTCTTGAGGGCGTCCTTGCCGGCCTGTCTCTCGCCCTCAGCGGCGGCGCTGGCCCATCGTCGAAGAGCAGGCGTAGGACGGACACGCGGGGCGGCGCGGAAGGCGGAGCGGGCAATGATGGAGGACATGATGGGGGGTGAGT